CGCATTTTCTTTACTGCCAGATTCGGTTCTCGCCCTGAGACGGCGGCATCGAATAATGAACGTCATCTGGAGAGCCAACCACTTGGTCCTGCATCTCCTTCCTCCTCTTTCACCTCGTATATATGTCCGTAGCCATTTTGGCTCAAGCCAGGCTTGCCAAAGTGCGCTGCGCAATTCAATTTGTGCGGCAAAGCGAATGCTGACTCCCTCATGGCGTGCCCTGCGGCTCCGCTGGCGGCTGCTGCGCTCGCGGCGAGGTGCCTGCTAGTCTCCATCCAGCTCGTGATGCATTTCCTCCTCGTCATGTTCTCGGGGCGGGAGTTCGCGTCCACTGCTAACGCCATCCTCTCGCTCCGCAGGGGGCCCGCTGCATGGTTCGTGGATGCCCTGCTCTTCGTGAACGCCCTGGCCAACAGGGCCAAGCACGCGCGCTTCCTGCTGGCATTCGCCTTCTGCGAGCGAAGAAGGCCAGAGCGCGGGAGGAGGCTTCCTCGCGGTCGCACGCCCCCGCGCTCGGATGCCGACGCCGACGACTTCATATTCTACGACGCTGTTGAACCCGTTCCGATTCGCCTTCAGGACCGCGATGAAAATCAGTGGGTGCTGGGGGGGGGGCTGCGCTATAATATGTATATATATATACACTTATATATATATATATATATATATATATATATATATATATAATATATTTCGGTCTCAGCTCTCACAGTGCGAAGTGAGCGATGGTCGGCTATGCGGCGAAACAGACGCAAGGCGGTCACCGAGCCAAAAGCGCGGCAATCGCCAAGAGAAAACGCCAAACGCGCACAACGCGCAAAACGCTCGCTGAGCAGAGAAACGTACGATCAAATAAGATCATTGGAACTTCTTCACGCGCCTCCGCATTGGGATCCTCTTGAAGTGGTCGTAAACCATGTAGTCGAACCTGTTGGCGAGCCTGGCTTGATCCTTCTGTTTGTCGGTCAGCTCGGCCACGTGAGTAGAAGGCCTCTTGTATGCCTTATCGAAGAACTCTGGGCGCCAACCGATCGCGGTCTCGAGATATCGCTTATCTTCGAAGTCCGCCGCAAACATCACGACCTCGAACTTCGACAAGCGCTCTATCGCCTTGTGCGCATGCTCCTCGGTAACACCCCCTGCAGGGAGCGACCAAACTGAATGACCGCCGAGCGTCCGGACGAGGAAGTTGTCGAAAAACCACCACAATGTCGCTTTCCCAGAGGGAGTTGTACGGTCGCAAGCATGGGTCAGATCAGGACCAGCTTCCCCCACCCCCTTGAGGCAATTCAAAGATGCAATCGTCTCCTCTAGTGTGTACTTTTCCATGCTCGCCTTGGAGATAGCTAGTTCGTTTGGATCTCGGAGAAGAGTTCCGTAATTAAAGTCTTCGTGGCATAGATTGTAGTCGTCCACTACATGCTCAATTTGAGCCCAGGTGACATTCGACCAAGCGAAATACTCAGATCTCTTTGAGCAGTCGGCATGCGTCGCCTTTCCCCTCCATACTGCATCGGGCGTGTCGAACGGCCACCAGTTCCCGTTGAAGCTCGGCCGGACAACGTTCTCGTGGTTCAGGAGTGCCATCGAATAGATGAAAGTTCCCATGGACTTGTGTACGTGGACCCAGACCACTGGCTTTGAATGAGACACGTTGGCGCGAGGCACCTGTCCGTCGACGGGCCTGTTGGCCAGGGGGTTGCCTCGCGCGCGAGCGCGCATACTCTGCGCCGCCTCCGCGCAGCCCTCGCCGCCGAAGCCCAGCTCGCCCATGTCCTCGGCCAGAAGGTCGTAGTCGAGGCAACTGGGGGAGTCCGCGCCTTCGTGGGCCCCAGAAACGGCAGGGCCGTTTTTTCACCGTTTCCCAAATGCATGTCCCTTGAAAATGGAAACGGCAAAAAAACGGCGCCCGGAAACTGCAAAAAAACTGCTCCAGGAGTGGAACCGGAGCCGGGACTGGTCAAAAACGGCGGCGGCAGCGGCAAAAAAAAACGGCGTCGGAGCCGGCGAACAAAAACGGCCAAACAGAGCCGGCAAAAAGACGGCCTGTCGTTTCCAGGGCCCACCAGGGTCAGGGTCCGCGCCGCCGCGCCGCGGGCAGTCCGGCAGCCCCAGAGCCGCCGGGCAGGCGCCCGGCGGCCCCGAGGCGGCCCCCGCCCCGCGCGGGCCGGCGTCCCGCCGGCCCAGCGTCAGCGCCCGCGCGCCCAGGCGGAGCGCGAGCACCTCGCCGAGGAGCGCGAGCGGGCGCATGGCTGGTGCAGTCGGGGCGTTGGCCTAAGGATGATGAACCAAGAACACACACCCATACCCATAGGGGGATCGGAGAGGGCCATGGGTGCGCGTTGTCGGATGGGGGTCCCCGCTCGAGCGGGAGCGTTCCCCAGGGTCCGACAACCCGCACCCATAACCCATAGCCAGTCCTCCTCCCAACGACCCCCCTATGGGTATGGGTGCGTGTTGTCCGTTCGTCATAAGGAACCTTAAATAAGGAACGGGGCCCCTTTCTCCCATACGTTGAGCTGCGATTTCCCATGCAAAACCTCGGGAAAATTGAAGACAAGCTGCGGAACAATCAAGGAACGCCGAGCCCCTCTCCAACGAAAAGGGTTCCTTATTCAGGGCCCCGTCTGTACTCTTGGGCTGGAGGATCAGTGCGGTCAGGGGAACGTCGGAGATCAAGGTCAGCCCAAATGGCTTGAGGCAGAACGGCCACGGATAAAAAAACCGGCACGCTGTTCGGGGAAACACGTGCGGCAGTTACTCAGCACGGAACTCCCCATGTGTGCATCTCGACTCCTGGCACTTTCCGCTGCGAGTGTCTGGGTGAGAGGAGTCTGGGTATGAGCGGGCTGAATATGAGAGTCTGAGTGCGTGCGGGTGAGTCTGAGTGCGAGCGAATCTGAGTGTGAGTGAGTCTTAGTGTGAGTTGGTCGATGTGAATGAGTCTGAGAATGGCGACGCTTCGTGTGAGTGTATCTGAGCGTGAGTGGTCACCGTTTGACTGGGATTCAGTGTGAGAGGGTCTGAGTGCGAGTATGAGTGTGAGTGAGTCTGAGTGTGAGTGACCTGAGAGGGAGCAGGCAGGAAGACAGAGGAGAGAAAACAACAAAGAGACACCTCCTTCCTTCCCCTTCTGCGTCCTCCTCCATCCTGAGCCGTCAGTCCTCACCCTCCTCTCTGGCGGCCGTCCTTGCCCCTTCACATGCGTCCTCATACTTCCTCATCTTCCTCCTCCTCCCTCCTCCTCCGTGCTCCCTCCTCCCTCCCCCTCCCTGGCAAGTGCCCCCCTCTGTGGCGGCTCCTCCTTGAGGTGCCCACATGAAACGATTGCCTGATCGCGCTGGCCATGAGGCTCTCGAACGAAAGAGGCCTTGGCCACCAAACAGGCAAACAAACTGAGACATCCCCAAAGTCTGGCCGCGAATGGGGGAGTGAAATACCCTCTGGCGGCTCCCCCTTGGGGGTGCTAAAACCAGCGCCTCGCCTGAGACGTCCTCACAATCTGCTCCGAGAGCACAGGAACTTGGGCACCCAAGCGCGCAAACCGCTCGAGACCTCCCCACACTCTGAGCGCGAGCGGGCCCGCGAAACCACCCCGGCGGCCCCTCCCCGTGGGAGTGCTGACGCAAGAGCCTCGCTCGAGACACCCTCACAACCTCTAGCCTGCCGAGTGCTGACAGCAAAGGGCGTTGGGCACCCAAACAAGCAAACCGCCTCTGACTTCCTGGGCATCTAGGCGCGCACGGGCTCGTGGAAACTCGCTGGCGGCTCCCCCCTTGGGGGTGCTGAAACCAACGCCTCGCCTGAGACATCCTCACAGTCTGCCCCGAGAGCGAAGAATGCTGGGCACCCAAACAGGCAAACCAACCATGAGGCAGCCCCAGTCTGGGCGCGAACAGTCGAGTGTCCCAGCCCCTGGCGGCTTCCCCTCGGGAGTGCTGAAAGAGGCACCCCGCCTGAGAGATTCGCAGTCTGCTCGCCGGTACGTCTCAGCACGACCGGGTTTGAATATGAGTGAGTGAGTCTGAGGGAGGACAAGGAGGGCGCGAGGTGCGGAAAAGCCCGGGGGAGTCTGAATAATTACCAGTACCCCATGTTACGATATGGGGAACAACCGCCGATCGAGCCCACGGCTGACGAATGCCGGAAGGAGGCGGCTGGCAGGTCCCTCGCAAGAGGAAAAACCAACAACAAGAGAGCGGAACAACAACCTAAACAGACACTCCCGGGGGCGCCCTGCACCCCCCATGGAGATTACAGGCAGCGCCCCGCCCCGGGCCGCCCCCGGGCCCTACTCCTCTATATATATATATATATATATATATATCACTCGTACCTTGAGGAGTCCAGACGGGTCCCACCGAACAGACCTAGAAGGGCGCTCGAGAGTGCTCTACAAGGGACTGGGCAGCACGCCGTATATTGTAGTGATGCCTCCCGAGAGCCTCCTCACTGTCGAGGGGGCCAAGAGCGGGGGCGGTGCGCACAATATTATATAGATATAGTATCCCAGTGCGACCCTACCTGGGGGTTGGAGCCCCTAGGAAAGCAGCATCAGTAGTAACAGTAAAGCTAGGCTAAAGCTAAGCTGAAGCTAAGCTAAATTAGCTAAAGCTAACCTGCAGCTGAGCTAACACTAAGCTAAATTTAAAACTAAAGCTATGTTAAAGCTAAGTTAAAGCTAAGCTGAAGCTAAAGCTAAGCTAACGTTAAGCTAAAGCTAAACTGCAGCTAAGCTAAAACTGAGCTAAAGCTAAAGCTAAAGCTAAGCTAAAGCTAAGCTAAAGCTAAGCTGAAGCTAAGCTGAAGCTAAGCTAAAGCTAAGGTGAAGCTAAACTAAAGTTAAGCTAAAGCTAAGGTGAAGCTAAGCTAAAGTTAAGCTCAATCTAAGCTGAAGCTAAGCTAAAGCTAAGCTAAGGCTAAGCTAAGGCTAAGCTGAAGCTAAGCTGAAGCTAGGCTAAAGCTAAGCTCAAGCTAAGCTAAAGCTAAAGCTAAAGTCAAAGCTAAAGCTAAAGCTAAAGTTCCAGCTAAAACTCCCAGGGGACTGGGGGAACCGCTCCCAGGGGACTGGGGGAACCGCCCGGGGCGGGTTGTACTGCCCGGCCCCTTTAAGCTACAGAGTAAGAACCCTTCTATGCAGAGCCTAGGTAGGGACAAATTCAGGAGAAACAATTCTTGGTTATACTGAAGGTTTTTGGGGGCGTCTTGAGGCCGTCAAAGGCCGTCATGGAGATATCTGGAAGGCAACTAGGGCGTTCCAGAAGCCATCTTGGTTAGCTCGTCTTGGACTCTATTGGAGCCTCTTTGGGGCATCTTTTGAGGGAGGCGCCGGGGAGGCCCTGGGGAGGCCCCAGGGGGAAGGGGAAGGTAGTGTGGTCTTGCGGCCCCTTGGGGGAAAAAGGCCCTGGGGTCCCCACGGCCAGATTTTACGCATCTGAAAAAAATTGTTGCCAGCATTCTTCCCAAGCGTCCAAATGAATGATTTCAAGGAATTTGACTCTGGGGGGACATTGGTAGCATGCCTGGCCCAGCCATTCGTCATGCACGCTTCGCTTCCAGGAGGCTTGATCAGCACGTTATGAAAAGACGACGAACCAAAAAGCCGCCACAACCTGACATGGATACGGGTGATTTACGGGCACGCGTTACAAGCATACGCAGCCTCTGGCAAATCTATACTCGCTGAGCTCGGGCCAGGCTAAAGTAGAGCCCAGTGGAGAAGCACTGCTCAGACATGCACAGTTTGAGCGTGCGCGTACCAAAACTACCATAATCCCACCAGCCCTCTTGGCGCAGGTGGTTTAGGACGGCTCCTCTTCCAACCCCCTTTCTTCCCCTTCGGGAAGGGGGTTTTTCACTCCCCCCTATTGATACACACCCCCTCTCCCAGGCGACTGGGAGCCAACCCGAGCCAATGAGGCCCCCCCCCACCATCCCTTGTAGAAAACAATACAAAACACCCTCTGCCTCCAAATTCGGAGCATGCGCAGCGAACCCGATGCGGCCTCCCCCTTACCATCCCTGTCACAGAACACTGCAGCATACACTTGGCGGCGGCGGCGGCTGCGGCGGGGGCACCAGCTGCGGCGGCTGCGGCGGTGGCGGCGGCGGTGGCGGCGGCGGCGGGGGCGGCGGCGGCGGCGGTGGCGGCGGTGGCGGCGGCGGCGGCGGCAGCGGTGGCGGCCAGCGGCTGCGGCGGCACGGCTGCGGCGGCAGCGGCGGCGGCGGCGATTGCAGCGGCGGCGGCGGCGGCGGCGGGCGGCGGCGGGCGGCGCGGTGGCGGCGGCGGGCGGCGGCGGCGGCGGCGGGTGGCGGCGCGGCGGCGGCGGCGGCGGCGGGCAGCGGCGGCGGCGGAGGCGGCGGCGGCGGATTCGCCCCCAGTAGCTGCCCATCCAAAGACGACTGCTGAATATACTGCGGCTCGGGCCAGGCTCGGGTGCTGCGTATGTATTGGGAGAGCAGGTGGGAGTGAGCGAGACGGCTTGCGGGCGGGGGGGGAGTCTTGACCCCCCCCCCTGCCCCCTCCCCTGGACCTGGACGGGGCGCCCCGCGAGCGGTCAGGGCGCCCAAAACAGCATCGGCGAGGAAGCCAAAATCAGTGGTTTGACTATAGTGCTGGCCCCATGTGAGCCCCTTGGGGGGGCAAGGCTTATTCAGGAACCCCTCTTCTTTGATCGATCTCCTCCGGGATGGCCCCACAAGCGCTCCCAAGGCTCCCAAGGATGCCCCAAGAGGGCCCCAAGAGATGGCCAGGAGGCCCCAGGAGGCCCCCAAGAGGCCCCCAGGATGCCCCCAAGAGGCTCCCAAGAGACCCCCAAGAGGCCCCCAAGAGGCTCCCCAGAGGCACCCAAGACGCTCCAAGAGGCCTCGGCGAGAATGCCAAAAAAATTGAATTTACGCGAAGGTGTTGGCCACATTTTGGCCTCCCGGGGGGGCACTGATTAAGATGACTCCAAGAGCGCCTGGTAGAGCCCAAGATGACCTCCAAGATGGCTCAAGATACCCCAAGATGCCTCAAGATGGCTCCCACGATGCTCCAAGAGGCCCCAAGACCGCTCCAAGACGGCTCCAAGTGGCCAAAGAGCTCCCCCAGGAGGCCCCGAAGAGGCCAAAATCCTTCCAAAACCTTGCGAAAATCAGCGTCTTGAGTTTTCTCGCCTTTTCACTCCCGATGGCCATCCGAAGCCTCAAGATGGCTCCAAGATGGCCCAAGAGGGCTCCAAGAGCGCCCCCAAGGCTCCCAAGAGCGCTTCAAGAGGGCCCCAAGAGGCGCCCAGGAGGCCCCAGGAGGCCCCAACGGGCGTCGAAGAGGCCTCCAAGAGGCTCCCAAGAGACCCCCAAGAGGCCCCAAGAAGCTCTGCGAGGCACCCAAGACGCTCTAAGAGGCGTCCGGGACCGCCAAGAGGCCCCCAAGACGCTCCAAGAGGCCTCCACTGGGGGACCCTTCCTCTGTGTGCTGCCCACTTCCCTGATCGAGGCAATTCCTCTGGGCATCGTTTC